AACGAGCCGTCCAATCACAGCTCTGGGATATAATATCGAACTTATACTCCAGAGCTCTGATTGGACGGCTCGTTATTCCCTGTTGCCTGTGCCTATTGCCCGCGTCTATTGTGTTTCCAGCTTAAAGCGGGGAGCACAGACTCTTGCATAACGCATAACACGTAATGCATAAGAAAATGTACCAATCAAAGCCTTCCGTTTCCTTCCTTTCCATGAAATAAAGAATTCTGATTGATTGAATTTCTTATGCATTACATGTTATGCGTTATGCAAAAGTCTGTGCTCCCCGCTTAAGCCATATGGCGCGAGACATCATAGACCGGTATTCATAGGCTGCGTTCAGCAGAACGTTTGTTTTGCAACTGTTGGAAGTTTCCTTCGCGCTAATTGGATCATACTTTTAGATCTAGAAGAATGGTCCTATCTCAGCAGACAATCATAAAACGGTTGCAAAACTGTTGAGTCTGCTGAACGCAGCCATAGTCAAATCTTATTTCAAGACTGTCTTAAATAATGTCTTAGGGTGAAATCACACGGTGCGGGAAAAGACTGCGGAATAGAGACTACGTCATTGAAGCAACCAATCAGAGCTATTCCGAATAGCGCTGAATAGCGTTGATTGGTTTGTTCAATGACGCATTCTCTATTCCGCAGTCTTTTTTCACACCGTGTGATTTCACCCTTACTCTAAAGTCGGAATCAGACTACGCATTGAAGATTGAGGTTGAAGATTGAAGATTGAAATTTGATCAATAAGGACGAAGAAATTTTAATTCCTATTGTTTTGATTGGTCAAATTTCAATCTTTCTATCTTCAATCTCAATCTTCAATGCCTAGTCTGATTCCGGCCTAATGCGGCCTTCTGATTGGTTCGTGATATCTCAATATCGTTTTTAATTCTTGGAATTAAAGTAAATTAAAGAGTAAATTGAACCAAGATTTGTTAATCTTACATTGGTAAAATTCGGCCTATAAGATTAGTTAATTAGGACCTACTAATTTAGATTTTAGTGTTTATATGATGTATGTTTTACAGTATTATACTAAATTATTTATATATCTATTGGAATGGTAAAATTTTTCTTGCAATAAATATTTGATATTATATTTATTCTGTTTGTTGGCTGCAAACGTAATAAAGTCGACTATTGTCAATTTTATAAATTACAATACATGTATGTGACATAGAAAGTTTTTCCCTCCATTATTTCCTTTCCCTCCGTAAAAAGTACTTAATAATAACACCCTTCACATCCACAGATACGTCGCATACGCAACTGAATCCTAAAATAATAATCAGCGTCTGCTAAGATTCGCTTCACTGCGCATGTCCCAGAATCTTCCGACTTCCGATTCCGATACTGAAGCCACTTGGCTGCGCTGTGTTGGTTTGTCGGTTTAGTACACAGAGCGGTATGAGTTTGTGGAGCGGTGTTAGAAAAAGTCGCAAAAGATTTTTACGAACATGGTCGGCCTACTCTTCCACGTGCTCTACCTGCTGGGCAAGTGCATATATGATAGATATCGCGTCAGAAAAACGAGACTCTTGCCCGATGTCGCGTACGAAGAGGAATTGTTCAAGTACGATTACGATGCGCTCGACGATGATTCGGAATTGGAAAATACGTTGTGGTGGACACACAGGACAATAGGCAACTTTTATCCACCGGCATACATACAAAGATACTATGCGGTGATGACTGTGCTCAACGAATACAAAGGAAAATTGTGGAAGGTATCGATATCTTGTATACTTTCTTACAACAACGTAAATTACATGTGTTATTATAACAACACTATTCCCATTCAGTGTAGAGTTTGTATTAGGTCTGTTTTTTTATTGCTGCACTTTCTGAACTAGTACACACAGTGCAATAAGTTGAAGTGAAACAAACGTATGTTTGTTCCACTTCAACTTATTACACCGGTTCAGAGTACAGCAATAAAAAACAGATCTGTTGTCAAGTATTTGAGTAAAGCAGGCGGCACACGATGCTTGTTTTCTTGCTGGATTGCTAGCTAGAATAAATTCTTGCTTCCATATTGGTTACGATGCTGACATTGTCAATACCGCAGTCAATACAATGGCAAGATTCTAATCCAGCTGGGAACCCAGCAGAAAAACAAGCATTGTATGCCGTAGGCTTAAGTTCCTTGTTGTCAGCCACCTGTTTTGTACAAGGATCACCAGAGTATTGTATCTTTAAATATCTTGTTTATTTTAAATATATTGACATATATTGTTTCAAAATATAAAATTATATTAATTCCCATAACCTCTTATATTTATGATTGCATTTTTAAATTTTTTTCACAGATTGTTGACTGTGGGTGCGGCGAGCTAGGTTTATTGTTGTACTTGAAAGCGATACCTGAAGTGGAACAGATACTTTGTGTAGATGTGGATAGGGAAGTGCTAGAAAGATATAAAGAAAGAGGAGCACCATTAACCACAGAATTGTTGTCCTCTCGAGAAAGGAAGCTTACGATAGAGATTTGTGAAGGCAGTGTAACAGACAATGATGTAAAATTGAAGCATGCAAACGCTGTAATTTGCATTGAATTGTATGTTCTTATATTGCATGAACATTACTATAAAAGTTACATATATATATCTGTTATTTTAGAAAAATATTTTTTGTAGGATTGAACATTTATATCCAGATACATTAATCGATCTTCCTTTTAATATTTTTGGCTATATTAAACCAGAAGTAGCAATAATAACAACACCAAATGTGGAATATAATGTAGTATTTCCACATTTATCAGGCTACAGACATCCAGATCATAAGTTTGAATGGACAAGGGAACAATTTCAAGATTGGTAAGTAATTGTATAAAGCTTGAAAATTTACTTCATGAAAATTTAATTTTTATCATCTCTTTGTTAACAGGGCACAAAATATTGTGGTAAGGTATCCATATTATAGAGTGACATTTCAGGGAATTTGTAATGGACCTGAAGGCACTGAAGAATTAGGAGCATTAACACAGATGGCAGTGTTTCATCGAGTTTTACCAAGAAAAGATTCAAGACTAGAAATTCTAATTCCAGATGAATATATGCAGTTAAAAGGTCACCACTCATTATTTAATACAGTTGCTACGTATAAGTACTCTACAGGACGTGACATTCGTTCAGACGAACAAAAAGTACTGGATGAAGCGATATATTATATCAATTATTTATCCTATGATACAAATAATGAAGATGAATCCAGGATCTATGAAATATACTTGGACCGTATATTAAGCTTTATGACTAAATACACCATCTCAACAGAAACTCTGAGGTCGATTCTAACAGATGCAGGATGGAGCATTGTAGATCGAGAAAATGGACCAGTGGTGCTTAATCCTTCCATGGATTCTTATGATGAAATATCCAGCGATGATATGAACATAGAGGATGACTGGGACAATGAATATGAAGATTTTGAAGATCCTGATTCTACAAATGTAGAGAACATATGGGATTATGCAACTGGACCACCCATAAATGAGACAGCTGTAGACGAAAATGAAAGACATTCGTTTGAGCAAAATCCACATATTCAAAGTTGGCATGAAGAACCTAGTATTACAAATGAGGAAAATAGATGGGATTATGTAACTAATTCACCCATAAATGAAACACCTGCAGATGCAAATGAAGAATATTCATCTGAACAAAATCCATATACTCAGAATTTGTATGACAGTCCTAATTTTACAGATGAGGACAGGTGGGATTATGAATCTGGCATAAATGAGACACCTGCGTATATAGATGAGGAATATTCATCTACTCAAAATCTTCATTCTGAAAATTGGTTTGAAGAACATAATTTTACAGATGTAATGAACAGATGGGATTGTGAATCTGGTGATTCATATATAAATCAAGTATCGGATGCAAATGAAGAATATTCATTTGCGCAAAATCCTCATATTGAAAATTGGCATGAGGAACCCAGTATTATCATCCCTGAAAATTGCTCTATTAACCAAGAAAACACTTATTTATTTGATGGCGAAAATGATTTAGTAGAAGAATCTCAACCGTTAAAAGAGCCATATGCAACTAATGACGATATCAAACAATCAGGAGTTAGAAATGCAGAATCTTTAGTATACACTGAACGAGAATTACCAAGTAATTCAATTGTTCTAACTTTAAACGAAGTAGAAGTAGAAGCTCAAGTGACTGCTTCTGACATGTCCGCAGCAACACTCAATAACAGTTTGATATTAAAAACTTCAGATGATGATGTTATAGTAGAATCACCTTTATTACAAAATGATCAGATAAATCTAACTATGGAAGGAATTACGTTAATGTCAAATTTTCAATCACATATGTCTGTTTCACGTTCATCGACGTCACCAAGAACACTTTACTTCAGTTCTGAGATGAACAACTCTTTGCAAGATTTTAGTACATGTTATCAAAATGAATCATCAATCAACAATCAATGTTTATTGAACAGTACTTTTTATCAATCTGAAATGGCAACTGAAGCAGCTATGAATACAGAAGATTCTACTGCGATAGATATATCTTGTTTTAAAGAAAGTCTTCCAAAGAAAAATACACAAGACGAAATAAATTTTTCGTTACGTACTCCAGATAAAAATCAAATTTATGAAGATAATGATGCGACAAATGTGATGTCATCAGATGCTTATAGTTTTAATAATAAACCAAAATACACAAGTTCACCTCATACAAAAATGCCCACTACCCGTATTGTTAGTAAAAGTTTAAAATACAGAGAACTACCCGCAATGAATAGTAACGTTTTACTGGACACACCAGAAGAAATTAAGGAAATTATATCAGATATTATTGATAGTATTTTATTAAAATCTAGTCAGGAGTCTAATAGTAGTATCACAGAAACAATTAAACTACATGCTACTTCTTCGAGTAGTGATTTTACAAATACTTTAAAACACGACATAGGCTCTTCTGCTAGTAATAGCACACAGCAGCAAAGTTTGTGTTTAGAAAATAAAGAATTTAATGATATTGATAATTCCATCTCTACGGAATTAATACAAGGTACTAATAAAGAATTCACGGAAAATAGTATCAATCATGAATCTAACATTGTGAATGATATACAAAATGCAGATACATCCCACGTCTTATCAATAAGCAATGAGAATATTAATCATAAAGATGTATGTTGTACATTAGAAAAAACAGATCTGACAAAAGCACACTTAGAAAATGTGATTAGTGACATTGCACAGTTAAGCATAAAAAAAAAAGATTTAAATCCGCCTAAAGAGTTATTAAGTTCCAAGTCACAGAGTATTGGCAAATACTTTTCATCTGATTGTGCCAAAGAAATTAGCGTTTTAAGAAATGATAAGTTTGTACCTTGTAAAAGTAGTGAAGATACAAGTAATGTTTTCACGTCAGTACTGAAAAATGAAGAGAATGTTAGCACAAGTAAAGATGTATCAAATGCTGCTGGAGTGAATAATGTCGAAGTTAAGCCATTTTCTCCGCTTGAAACACCTCCGAACAGTTGGTCTCCTGAAATCATGGATTCTGGTTATCCAAATTCTGTTTCCGCGCAAGATATAACACCAGAATATGAGTTACCTAGCATAGCTCAGGATTATATACCAGATTCTGAATCGCCAAGTATTGCGGAAGCGCCAAGACTTGATGTCTTGGAACCGATTGAGGTAGAAAACGGCGATTTGGCAAATAATAACAGAGATGATGAAGGTAATAATATGATGGCTGTGGATGCTAATGATATTGAAAATTTACAACCACTAATTGACGTACTCGAAAACGATCTGGAGAATGAAAATGATATTTACGTAATGCAGAACGGTTTTCCTATATGGTTACTGAGGATATTGGATATGGCAAATCCGCTTGATATGCAAGCTCAACAAAATCTGAGAATTCCTGATGAGGCTGCAGGTAACTGTATCTTTCTATCTTCTTCATATTGTCTGCATATTTTAAAGATAATGTATTTATAATATTTTTATATTTCTAGACGATGTTAACTATGTAGGTCAGGATGAAGGTTTTGATAGTAGTTCTTCAGAGAGTGAGAGTGATGTAGCTTACAATGAAATGGAAAATGATAATGGACATGATAAATAAAAAGATTTTTCTTAAAGAGAAAAAGAGGAAGTAAAACATGAGCGTGATATAATTACAGCATTAAAGTACATCTTACATATCATTCTTCGATGCTCCTAACAAGTTTGCAGTGTAGGCTTGAAAAGTAAATATCTTAGAAAATATTCTTGCTTGCGTTTCAAACATAAAGGGTATTCTAAATCGGCTTGGATAATAATACGGTTTTTTATTTATTAAAATCAAACTAATAAATAACTACCTCTTTCTAGATATTTTAACATAATATTTTATGAAATATTTCAAGTCTATGCAATGTTTTATGTATTAAATTTTGTATCTAGGACTACATTGTATGTAGGACTACATTCCAAAATGTCCTCTCCAAAGAAAATTTTATTCGATATAATATAATAGTATATGTTATATTTGCTATATATTTCGAGTAAAATTTTCCTCGGAGAGGAAATTTTGGAATGTAACCAAAGCCAATCTTAGATACCTACTAAATAGATAAATTATGTTCATCCAGTATAACATTTCTTTTTATTCTGTGTATTGAATGTATTTTCTATGATATTCTCTTTCTCTCATTTGAATAACTACAAGAATTTTTCATTCCTGTATTATAAAGGTATGTTAAAATCAATGAGCTTTTCTCTATTATTATGAATATGAAATATTCTTGTTATTATTCAAATTATTACGCTATATCAGTCTTAACATGTTATACATACGCGTATATATGTATGTACATGTATGTTTGTACTGTACACATTGTATGTGTACATGGATACATACACACGTGTACGCGCGCGCATGCATGCATGTACGTATACATAATACATAAGTACATACATGTACTTAATATATATTCACATATCGATTTGTATGGGTGCATATGTATGTATATGATATATATATATTTACATACATATACGTACACTGAAAAAAATTTTGTTCATTTTTGATCCAATGAATGATCGTTAATCAATGTTCGATTTAATGTCCGACTTAATGTAGTTAATTCATTGATACAATAAAACTGGATTCATTTATACAACTATATATTCATTCTTGCAATGAATATATGTTAAAATAGTATAATATATATCTAGTAATAGTTTTATAATCTAAATCATTATGAGAATTCATTGGATCAATTTTCATTATTTTTTCATAATTCAATGAATATTTTATTGTATTTACATACAGTGTATATATGTGTATATGTATATTTTCTTACAATTTTATGGATTTTTTTCAATAGTTAAATATCTCTAATATAGTATTTCAATCCTTGATGTGATTTATGAAAATTTATCAATATGTTAAGTTTTGATAGAGTGTAACGTATATCTATGTGATATCTGGTAGATCAATAGCAAACGTGATAACTAATATTAAATTAATTTTTGTAATTGTTTGATAATTTCGTTAAAACTTCCTATCTAAGACTGAAACTGCATAGTTAAGTTCGCAGTGATGCAAAAACTTTGGATAAATAAAATCGATATAAAATTTGAACAAATGTTATGTTCTCAATATATTTTATCCTAATACAGGTAAACATGTACACATTATATGGCATAAAAGTTACGAGCTTCTTAATATTAAATATTTTACATGGAAACGTGATATCTTTCTTTATTTCAGTGGAATGAAATTACAGGGTATACAATGGTTTATACGTAGTTAGCCTAAGACTTTACACGATTCTGTTAATTAGACGATTTTGACTATTGTGTTTTTAGTATTTACAGAAATAAGGTCTTCCATTTTTCAATACAAGCGGTTATTCGCTAGAGTACAAGTCAAAGTGACCATAAACTTTGCTTGAAATCGTGTACATATTACTCGTTAATATAACTTCATTAAATTTAATTTAATAAAAAAAAAATACAATAAAAAAACGTGCGTTGACTCTTTTAAGTAAATTTCATAATATAACTTAATGGCACAAATATGCTTTAATTTTACATACATGCAGTTTTAATATTTTTTTGCATAAAGTTGTAATCTCTCTTTTAATTCTTTCTTGTGAATCTGTATAAATAAATATATCACACTTATATATAAGTAAATGGCACGACTTACGAAGCTAAGTTTGATAGTCAAGAAATGTGCTATAAGTGTATAGCAAATTTATTGTTGAAACATCTTATAATACTAGACAAAATTACACATCAATGGAATTGCATTTTTAAGTAGTGCCTTAATACCATAATCTATGGCTTTTAGTAACATTCGTCTTACTACAAATTTTATCAAAACAAAGTGCAAATTATGTAACTAAACAGTATTATAAATATCTCGCAACTACCGTGTAATTTACATGTGTATCTATTCTGCTACATTTTTATGATTAATATCCCATTTTTTATGGTTAAATGGGAAATTAAAATATACGTTTCGCGTGTTTATCAGTGTGACAAAAGTATATATAAAACTAAAATAGTGAAAGATTTTAATATCAAACCTAATGTATAGAATTAGTAGAATTATCGAAATATTGTGTCAGTAGAACTGTCAAGACTATATATACGTATGTAACTATCAATTACGTCAGTTGAATTGAAGTCATTGCAGAATATAGTGGGCTTAATAATAAAGATACATGGAAGAAAACGCATTCGCACTATTTTGGAATGTTATATTAATTCAGATAAAATTAGATAATGGAAAATCAGTTAATAGAAAAGTAAATAAAACAATTACCTCTGTTATGTAAATTCTGATTTTCGTAATCACGCATTTGTTCAGTAGAATTGTCATGACTATTGTTACTCGAAAATTACTGTACGTATAGATAAAAGTCTCTATAGCATTTTCTCCCTTTCATGCTTAGACTAGTTTCATACAAAACGTGGCATATGTACTTACTTTTATTTTCTATTATTGTAAATAATTTATCGTGTTTACGTACGTAATGTAATTCTTTTTCGATTTTTCTTCGTTAGTAACCCGCGTGGTGTTATGTAAATTTTTATATCGAGCACAACATTTACACATATTGATATAGGTAAAATAAAAGAAAGAAAAAAGAATAAATGTAAAAAATACTATAAGCGTTTATATACGCGTGTCGAAAAAAAGAAAAAAATCACAGAAACAAATCTACTTTTAAAAACGTAACAAAATTTATAACAATGATTTTCAATATAATATCAGCTGTTATGTAAATGGGGCTACCTGATCAAAAGCATTTGATACGCAATTCAATTGGGGAGCGTGACAAAGAATATATCAAGTTAACAAATAACAGTACATTAAATAACTACGAACATACATTATGTTCACATATTCGTGCCCGGCGCATGACTCCGAGATGTACGTATTCTTCTCCTAATGGCATTTTGTCTGCATAGCGAAAACATGAAAATAATATGATTTAATATCGAAAATTAGACTATCGTTCGTAAGCACGCACAGGAAGGGCATTAAAGTCATATCATGGAAGTAGATTGCACAAATAGTCACTTCATAGTCACATGGATATAAAAGATTCTTTTATATCATGCGACAATGGTCGCGTTCAGTAGACTCTATTGGGATGATCTAGAAGAATATACCAATAGCAGCGAGCGCTCACGGATCCGCTCCGCAATAATTGAGTATGTTGAACGCGATCATTGTGTCTTCTATCTTATCTCTGCTTTAAAAAATATTTTATGATTGACATATATTTTACTTGTTGACAGATATTTTATTTGTCAATGAATGTCTCCGTTTCATATCCATGCAACTATGTAGCAACTGCTTTACGAAATCTCATTTTATTTTCATATTCATTTCACTGTAGACGTGCTGTTTTTTAGGAAGTATATTGTACTTTGTACTTACTGCATCACACAACTTCCTTGAGACTATCGCGCGTTTCACGGCCACGAGAATGTATTAGATGGTGCAGATCACCTCCAGGCGCACTGTCGCGTCTCAGATCTCTTAGCGCGGTTGGAGCCATCGCTTCTCTCTTATTTGCCGCTTCCTTTATACTGGACAAGGTTTTGCTGAGCCACGGCCAACTATTTCGCGCGGCTTGCAGCTCTGAAGCGGTGGCGTGCAATTCATGTGTCAGATACTGTTAAATGATTTGCGTTAGAATTCAAAGATACAAAGTATCAACTGTGCAAAATGTATCCTTGTTCGCCCACCTGATTCCGGCATTCGGCCTCGACATGCGCTAATTTTGTCTGCGCTAACTCTAGCTCCAACTCACGTACTCTTTCCTGCACCCTATGAAGCATGGGATCTATTCGATTCTCCAAAGGATGTGCGATATCCGCCAATATGTTTGATGAGTCCATTATACATGTCCTACATTTTTCGCATTTCGAAACCTTTGCCTGAAATATATTGTTATCAGAGTCTGCTTGATAAACCTTTAACGCGCTATCAAAATTAAACCAGAGATTACACACCCGTAACTCGCTCAATGTTGTTTTCGCGGCGTTGTAATCGTCCTCCAAACGCTGGCAGATCTGGAACGTGTAAATATTTTTGCAACTCTCTGTAATACTTAATATCGAACCATACACGATATAATATCCTGTAAATACCTGCTTGTATTCGGCTATAATTACATTGCTTCTGCGGCTTTCAGCGTCTGCTCGAGCTACCTCACGCTGTAACATCTCCTTAATTTGCAGCAGTTCTGCCTCCAATCTTTGCTTTTCTTCTTCATTTCTGGCCACTGTACCGCGTAATTGCTCCACTTCATTACTGTATTCGTCAGCATTTTCCTGTGCTTCTACACGAAGGAATAAACAATTCTCTCATTTAGGTAAATTTAAAAGTTTAATGTATTAGACAATTAGATTATGTTTATATTACGTCGGATTTTTTTTTATGTTTACTCTCTTGTATAATTATAAATTTATAGCTATAAATTCCTAAAATTCCCTCCAAACGCATAATTGTATACAATGTTATTATAAAAGTTATTATAAATAGTTTTAAAAATATTTTTTCTAGAAATGCACTTTTATTTTTTTGCATAAGTTATACTTTTTTACTATAAAAATTTAATGTATTTTATCAGTCATATTTGATGTTGCTACATGTATCACAAACTTTTTATTTTGAACTGCACACGTTTCCTCTAAAGAAATTTGATAACAATCGCAACACAAGAGTAATTTCTGAGCATTGCACACTAAAGTATTATATAAGTACACTTCTCACTCTTCTTACTCTTCATTAGTTCTTTCGTTGCATGGCTCATACTTGCGTCACTGACACGTTAAAAACAGATGGTCCAAACGTAACTGACAGATATCGCGTTAACACGAACGGCCGACTTTGCTATATACTATAGGAAATGTGCTATGGCCAAATTTAAATTACTGATATAGCTGATATTGGATATCTTTATCTTGCTATATCTCAAATGACATTGTTGATAGCCGAAATTTCCACGTACACTTTGCAATCTCGTTATATTTTGGAACATTATAAAAAAAACAAACTTGACTGATAAAATATATTTATAAGGATGCCTTTATTATTCCTTGCACATATCCAATTAAGAAAAAATGAATTATTGCAAATTGTGATTTCTTGTGATAATAATTGATACACAATATATACCATCATATTGTTAACTATGTCAGCTCCAAATTTAAATATAAAAGACACATTTTCAATATATACACAGTGAAAGCTATCTGATGATTAGTCAGCCTATAGTCATGTTATTGCTTATCAGCTTACGCATACTTCAACGACCTGTGGTATATAGGATTAATTCAAACAATAGCTTTATAAAAATATTTTTACTTATCATTCCCACACACAGATATAATTTCTAGATAAGATATAATTTCTAGATAAGAAAAAATTTTCTTTATATTATAAACACATATTAAGTATATATAACTAATTATATCTCACTATTTTTATTCTTTTTGTTAATTGTAATCTAGCATTGTGATATTTATGAGTACTTTCCAGCAAGGACACAGTCAGACACTATGTAATACACTATGTAATCGTTTCATCCTTGTTTAACGTAGGCAAACAACAAGGATGTAATAATTCACTGTGTTACACTGTGTGTCTGACTGTGTCCTTGCTGGAAAGCACCCTATATTGCGGCACTACACTACTTCTACAGACATATGAGAGAAGTAATTAGTACAATACAAACAAGTGCTGACAATTTTGTTTGATGCGCCATGCATACCCAATATAGCAAGAGAACAAAAATGTGAAGGTAGGAAGTGCAGATGTTTACTAGATATTTATTAGGAATAGGATATTATCGGATAAAATAGGTAATTCACAAAACTAAAAGTACTCTGAGATGATTTATTTTTCACTAAGCAATAATAAATAATGTATAAATAAAAAGCAATACAAGAGGTCATAAACACAAGCGCTACAGCCAATAAGCATGGATTCTAATAACAAACATAATAACAGTTTTTCCAATAATGTGATGTCGTTAAAAAATAAATAATACTTTATAAAATTAAACTTACAATAAAGGTTTGATAACATGACATCTCCCCATCTAACGATATTAATATATTATATGTTCACAGCACACATATATAGCCATTGTAACACAACAGCGCAAGAAGAATATAATAATTCTACAATTTTCGACATGAGTATTTTATATTACGGAAGTTATATTTGATCAGTTGCTCATCAGTCATTATTCAATCAATAGAATAAAAAAATAATATATAATTAAATATTTTTAATGTCCTTAGAGTTTTCTTAATATCCAAGTTTCATTCTTTACTCATACGTATTTAAATAAATTCCATAATTGCGACAAATTTAAGTTTTACAATAAAAAAATATTAATCGATCATAATAATAAATCTATTAATCTGTCTGTTGTTTCTAAAGCTTTACACTCTACAAAATTACATTAATATCATTAATAATTATTCATTGTATATTTATTAATACATAATATTTTCATTAATAATTAATCAATCATTGAATAATACAATCAAGAAGTATTATATTAAATTGCGAGCTATTTGCAACAAATAAATGAAAGCAAACAGATTTACATGTGTAAAAAATAAAATTATTTGCATATAGCATAAATTGAGATTATTAAAATATTTTTATATTGAGAAATTAGACAAGTGCTTTTCACACATTAGTCCTATTATCTATTTGGAGATATTCTATTCTCTTTCTTTTTAATTTGGAGATATTCTATTCTCTTTCTTTTTAATTCTGATTAACAAATTTTTCATACTTTATAATAATCAAGATGTATTTTTGCCAAGTAGTGCACTACTCAAATTTAAAAAGAAAAAATAATCTGACAAACAAAACCACCACCTGACTATAAAATAATTTACAATTTTCACACACACATACACACACATTTCGTAGTTCTAAATATTGCTATATAGAGAGCCGTAAAGTTTTTATAAAATTTTTACTAATATGTTTGTTAATTTAAACAGCTATATATTAAATGTATATTTCTTTATGAGACTAGAAACATTATTTTATACTTTAATTCAAAAAGTATCAAGTTCTACCTCGTGTGTGTTTTGCTGAATTATTTACATGTAACTACGTTAAATATGCACGTGCACGCAATGTCCTACACATAATTAGATATATTTTATATTTAATATAATTAATATGTATATTATAATATATTCAATTATTTTTTTTAATAAATTTAATTTATTATATTACACTATTAATATTATATTATTAAAATATATAGCACAATATTGTTTCTATATATTTTAATTTAATTATATTTGATTTTAAATTAAAAAAGATCTTTTCTAAGAATTATAAAAAGAAAATTTCTACGTATATTTACGTTCCATGGCACAACCTAAAAACTCGTTGCATTTTATATGTAGTTTTATTAATAATAATTCTTGCCATGCAAGAATCTTTAACTCTTTGGTTTTAAACATAATATGTGTACGAATGTTTTTATATGTACCTAAAACTTATACCAACATTGACAACAAATTCACAATCAATAGGCAATGATTGCTGAATGTTGCTGAAATATACATAAAATGTATAATGTACAACACGATATACAGTGTTTCCTAATGAATTGATGGAATATTGTGTTTAAAGATGAACAGGGAAGTATGCAGTTCAAACATAGAATATAAAATTACCTTTCAATGTCATAAATTCTGCTTCATATTTCTTCAGTTTCTTTAACGTCACTGAACAAGCTAACTTCATAACATAGCGTGCAACTTCTTCGTTTCGGCAACGTTTTGGTAAGTGCACCCGGAAGTATTTCAATATGCTCTCAAAATCTAATTGTAATAACTCTTTTTTACAAAGCTGAAAAATAAAATTATTTTTTTAGCATACATATTATTTACGAAATAAATGTAAGAAAAATATCAATTAAATTAACAAAATAATTATATATTTCGAGATATATATATATATCATGAACTTTTTAAATTGCTTATAATAGCCTACCATCAACAAAGCAAGGGCGACTTGGAATAACGTGTCGAGTCCTTGTAAAAGAAATACGTCCAAGATATGAAAGACAAGATATAATGGAAATCTAGCAGTAAATAGAGTTAGAAACCATTGTGCGGCAAACATATGCGTTTCTACACCACGATCACAGAAATGCTTATAAAGTTCCGGTAATTGATCCTAGAAACAAAATGTAGCGAGTGTAGCTTCGTGCATAACTCACTGTAATATAAATGTTAGATTATTATATAAATTGGTCATGACTTACTTCTATTAAACGATTTAGTTGATAAAATCGCATGTAAAGGTTGTCAAATCTATCCTTGTATAAATCTCGAAGACCATAGTCGTACATTAATTTAACCAGAACACAGAATGCTTGTTCTTCGGGCATCTAAAAGAAATACCAGTCCATTCGTTATTGTCGATAAATAATTTACAAAAAGTTACAAAATATATCATCTGTAAAGAATTCAACTGCCACTTCAACAAAATCAAATTTCTATAAAACTATTTAGTAATTACTTACATGGAGTAACAGACTAGCAACTAAGAAACTGAGGCCCTGACAATACCCAACTTCTTCATCGTGAACAGCATATGCTTTACTTATTCTATATAAAGAGTCTTGTCCTAAACCACCTGTTTCTTTAAAGAAGTCATGGGCTGGAAATGTTCTATTAATATCCCTTAAAATTACGCTCTCACAGCTGCTCTCCTGTATATTTATTATCAAAATTCATGTTATATCTTTCAGAAAAAAACCATCAATCATTTTTTATTATATGAAATTAATAAATTATACGAAGTACTCACTTTCGTAATTAACATTCTATATTTGTCCATCATCTCTTGTGAATTGTCACAGTTACTCAGACGTTGCCAAACTTCACCGCGTAAAGCTTCAGGAATTCCTTGTTTTGTCAGTTTTATAAGAAGTTTTGGACGTTGCTCGTTAACTTGCCAACTATCTAAAACTTCAGCCCAACTAGCCAATTCATCTGCCGAGCAATCCTTCGAAACTTCGCCTGTACCACTTAACATAGGTTCATCCCCATCTATACGCAGAAATCAAAACGTTAGCAAATATATTTTTGTATTATTAAATTAACAAGACAATTCTTTTCCATATTGAATTTATATTACCTGAATCTATTTCTTCTTTAGGTGTAAGTGTATCAATACTAGTTAAAGAAGGCGATCTAATTAAAGATGCCAGATTCAGAGCAAGATTTAATCTGTTTCTATCTAATTCACCAGATGTTTCTATACTTTGTACTTCATAATGTATCTCTGTACCATCTCCAGAAATTACCTGTCATAAAAAAATTAATATAGAAATGAAAAATAACATATAAATATAACAAACTAATAAATACATTTATTAACATAATTTCTTATAATATATCAGATCACGCTCACCTCTTTCGAATTAAGATAAAATTGTTGCACAAGATTCCTTTTATTAAAATACCAAAATCTCTCGTTTTGCGGAAACACTTTAACTGATGTTTCTATCACAAATCTTACTGGCTCTCGAATATCTCTAATAACCAGATCGACGGCAATAGTCATGAAAGTTTTACCCTCTCTAGGAGTTTCTATATTAAGTGTCTCCAAAGCGGGATCCGCAGGATCCCAACGTCCACAAATATTGTAACACTGTTTGTCTTGCATTATTGGTCCAGTATTAACTTGCTGCAAAATTGTTGTAATATTGCGAACATCTGAGCTGATTATAGACATAAAATTAACTTGCTGGTGTGAATCTCTTTTTACCATCTCGAGTAGTCGCATATCACTGTGTTTAACATTTCGCCCAGGACTAACAAGAACTCCGAAACATCTCTCGACTTCAAGCGTAATGCCACCTTCTTTACTAGACACTTGCTGGATATTCAAACAAACTTGTTTTGCCACATTGCTTCGTAATTTAAAACAATTTCTATCCTTAGGGACTGTACTAAAACCACCTTTTCCATCTTCTTCTTTTATTTCCATAGTGACTTCAAAAATAAATACTCTAGAATTAACTTTTTCACCAACATTGAAACCATTAAAGTCACTGCCTGTTAAAGAACTTGTCATTGAACGTGGTATTCTGTGGAATGCTTTTGAAAAGCAGGCTGATACTTGTCCGACCTACATAAAATAATTATAAAGATATACATAATTATTAAGATATACATTATTTTATACATATTAATATTATATGTATATATACACATTTAAAAATGACAATAAAATATCTATCTCTCGTAATTTAATATATGTGCTTTTAAATGCTTTAATATCAATAATAAAATACTTTGTATACTAAAATAAAATTATAATGAATTATAAAATCAAGAGACGTAATTATAGAATCTATAATTATAGTTTTTATTTGCGTATATATGATAATTAATATAAAACGTACCGCTTCTGGTATATCACAGCGGAAAACATGACATTGATAAATAGCAGATTCTAAAGTATCACCGTGTGACCATGTAAAAGCAAAACATGCTGCACATGAACCAGTACTCTCACCACGTGCATAAAACAGAATACGTTGCACTTCATAACGTGCAATAGCTTGTTGTGTTGCTGCATCATATAAACTAAAAAAAAATTACGATATATATTACATAATTATATAATATATATACAGATAACCTATTTGTGCACCCACTAAATTTAGACTGAATTACTCACATAACTGAACCTTGAGAACTGTTCGGCACCGAAACGGAAACTCTTATTCCTAAAGTCAAGGACTGCTCTGCATTTAATATACTCATATTACGTTGGATTTCACTTTCTGATTTTGGTGCATTTATAGCAGCTGCTCCCAGATATGTAACACCATTGAAAATAGTGCATTCTTGTTGAACGTGCGACAATGTGTTTAATTCTGAACCACACAAACATACGTTTAGATTTTAAGTCTATCACATTTTTCTTGTTCTTCAGTATTCTTGTTTACAATTATGTCAATAACTTACCTTCCTCAAGATAATCTTCTGGTTTCATAATATCTTGCTTCTCCGATGAAACAACACAACTAACATCATAGAATTTACTGTGGCCTACTTTCTTCGTCTTCTCTTGATTTTGTTGACTGACACTCGTCACTTTGAACTCACTTCCTTCCATCTTCGAGTCCTCTGTCAAAATCTGTAGTTGTCACACAAAGTGGATATAGACATGTTATCTGGCAAGCCTATCCAAAAGTACTTAGCTTGAGGGCTAAATGTTTCTCCCTCTCCATTGTTGAGCGAAATAGAGAAAAAAAACAAAAAGAATAAGAGATAGAGTTCTACTCAATGACACATAGGATTAAGAAAGCTGACTGTTCTCTAGTGTTTATCCTTTTCTGTTTTCTATCTGTCTCGCTCAACGAAACTATAGAGAGGTGGGAGTATTTAGTTCAAGAGCTATATTTCGAATAGACCTAATCTGTAGCATTCATCTATCATGGATATAGATTAATGTTTATCTAGATTAGGGGCGACGCGATAAGGCTGATAAATGTACAGACCTCACGGAGATTATTTTGCAGATCTTCCAGATTACCGTTATTGGCAATTTTTAGCATAGGTGGTTCTAAGAGGGCTTGCTGCTGCTTGCTAGTACCTTTTTCATTCACAAATTCATATTCATCGCTTGTCGCCACTGATTCCATGGACTTTACACTCATACTATCCTCCATAACTAGGTCTGCAACATTGATATTCAATGAGCAAAGCTGATTTTTACAATTAGCAACAATCTTTAAAAGCATACATCAGTTTCTTTAAGATCTCTCATGTGCATTATATTTTTAATGTTTTTTTTCTAAATGTTCACACAATATTTTGTACATATCTTCAACAAATAAATAAAATATAATTTCAATGTATTTGAAATATAAGTTTCAATTAGATCGCGCGTATTTATCTCAAATTCATCTATACAAAGGACAACCTTATATCCTTGAAAAGATCCCATGCAGTATTTACAAACATCATTCTAGAACAGTGACAGTAAACACGTACAAGCCTACAACTTCCTCTCAAGAACACAAGTGATTGTGCGTTCCTAGCGTAGCCTAGTGTTATCTCTGACCCGGTATCCCTGGAAACGTCCCCCAGGCGACACGGCTGATACCAAGGGAGAAAAAGAAATCTCCTGCTGCTCCAGTTTAGACTTTCAGCCGCGTCACCCTCGTGCTCTGTCGACGCGGCCCATTAAAACGAAACGGTCCGTTCGTTCGTAATCAAACCCAAAGGAAGCCAATGGAGCGCGTGCCAGGTTCGCGTCGACGGCATCACCGTTGTGCGGTGAGCAACGCATCCGTTCGTGATCTCTCTCTTTCTATCTCTCTCTCTCCCCCCCTCTCTCTCTCACTCTCTCTCTCTCTCTCTCTCGTGATTTTCCTGATGTATTATTTCAGATGATGACAGATCACACGTATCCGCCCTAATCGCCGAGCTTATCCCGAGACGAAACGGTAACTCTTCGGATCCGTTCTCGAGCAATCCGCGACGCAAGAGACCAAGATAATTGCCTTCTGCGGCGTGAATCCTCCTCCCCTTCGATCCCGGCGTAGATCTTCGTGGACTTCGACTCGACACCGTCGGTTGCCTGCACCGTCGGTTGCTTCCTCTCACGTCTCTCCGGCGCGCGTCGCCGCGCCTCGCTTCGCCGATACAATCCGCACGCGTTTTCCCCGCGACGTGACGGACATTTACATGGCTCTCCCGTAGCGAGCGGCGCGCCTGACAGAAACGACGACGACGACGATGACAGTGGGATCAGCCATTCGCAAATATCCACGGCCCAGAAGTCTCTGGTAGGTAGGGATCGCTACTGATACTCCGAAACCGCGAGGAGCATGTCGATACTTTCCTCTCGATATAACGGCGAATACTTTGCAGAGAAATAGATAGATCGTAATACTCGACAGCGAGAGCTACTATATTCCGATAGATTGCATTTCAAAGTATTGCGATCTTGAGTTTTTTGGTATCGATACTCGCAAACGAATGTAGGGCGTATCGAATAAGGCACGTACGTATACATAGCCCTTTTTAATTTGTTGAATAGGGGCTCCGCGAAGAGATTCCTTTTTTTTTCTCAAACAGATTAAGCAGATTAAGCAGAAAGTAGGTATAAGTCAGTCCCAAGCTTTCTTTATTCTTACAATGGCAAAACACTTTTACATTTTCGTACATAAAAGTAAACTTCACATAATTTAATGTATTTCTGTGATTCATCCATGTAAGCAAAATGTACCATCAGTACATTACATTTAGCAGTTTGGTCGATAAATTCGAATACAATACTAGTATGATTGACATCATTTATATTCTCATTGTGCAAGTTTTTTTGCATAACATGTTGCATAACATTTGTATATTAATCATGATTTTTTACATTAATTTTATAAGTTATTATTAAATTCTGTAAAAACGGTGTATTTTTTTATATTATATCAACTAAACTTTTTTATATCTACGTATAGTTTCGAAACTGTAAACGGAAATAAATTGACAAATAATTATCCAAGAATGTTCAAAAGCTATTATAATAATATATAATATTACATTGCTATAATTTTGAAAAAATTGAATGAATAAATTTCATGAAGAATGGATGTAGTTTTTTCATCATTAAGATATTATTATGCTATGAGAATCGAGACAAATAAAGATTATTATATATCTATTATTTTTATAAAGATATAAAGATATATATTAATTATTTTTATCTTTATACTAACAATAAGCATAAATTACATTGGGAAAAACATTGTTACGGAACAAAGAAATTCCTCTTAATGAAAAGAATTAATTGAAATTATGCATGTATTTATTCTGATGTATGTTGCAAGTCATATAAAGATGTGTCATATAAAAAATTAAATTATATCAATTAATTATTTATTGATATAAAATTTTTTTGTGTGGCACGCAATATTTGAAAAATGTTTTATTTGCGATATGTTGTTCTAATTCGTAAAACGCATTTTTTATATAAGTTTTAATTCGCTTGATTAAAAACGAATTATCTATATATCTTTACAACATTAAAAAGAATGAAAAAATGAGTACTGAGAAACATATCGACAAATAATAATATTGTTATATTTTTTGTTTGTATCTGTTATCTTTATTTATTACTCGGCGTTTCGGTCTCAATATGAATATTATAAATATTTGTATTTGTAAATTGGCAATAATACGCATGGTGTCATTTAAACTTATGACAAATCGAATATTCTCATATAGGAGTTAACAACGATTCTCAAAAAATGGCATAAAAATATAATAGCGCCAATTATTTGAATCAATATGCGATTTAAGTAAAAAGTTTTAGAATTTAAATCATAAGTTTAAAAAAAAATATCATAATCAAGGAAAATTTTTAAATCATGTTTTGAGATCATCATACATCTTAATTAATCGAAACATTACTAACTTTCTAGAATTGAAAATAACCAAGTGATGACAAAATGTTTTAATTTATACTTATTAAGTTTAGATTAAGTGACAAAATTTCGTGTATTTCACTTAAAGATGTTTTAAGAAATTGAAGAAAGTTTCTCTTTACTTAGTTTTTAGTTAATATAGCAGGCTTACAGTACCAAGATATGTATATAATACCAGGATAAATGTAAGACTTTTAACAACATTTAGAGATTTTTTAAAGAGATTTTTTTAGAGATATCTAAAGAAATTGAAGAAAATCTCTCTTTATTAAGTTTATATAGCAGATATATTAACATATATATGAGTTAAAATCTTTGACATTAAGCTAAAAGGTTATACAATTTATATAAATGATGTGCATTTTATAATTATACATTATTTATAAAGTTAAAATATATAAAATATTTTAAATTACATGTATTTTATAAACATATATAACTGTATAATATTTAATATATAATTTTATTATACATATTCAATATATTTTAATAATTGTATATATATTCGTTGATATATTTTACAGTTCTTACTGATTTATCAAAAATTCATCTATGATTTTCTGAGAGTATGTACAACGGCGCCTTTTCCTACCCGAGCTAGGTACTTCACTGGGGACGCGTTTGTTGCGCATGCGCGCGAAACCTAATCTGTAACTCGCGAACACCGAGTGCAGTAGTTGGCAGTAGTGCAGTTCGGCAGAATCAGCAGTCAGTTCAGTTTGTTGGCGAGCGAGACGAGCTCCGTTACGTCGGGCGTGAGGCGAAGCGGTCGCAGCCTCTTCGTTCACGGGTCTCTGATACCTTTCGCGTCGAGAACCGCCACCGTCGCTGCCGTCACCATCATCGTCGCCGCGGTATTTGCGGTCGTAGTGGTAATCGACATCGCGAGAGTCCGCACCAGAGAGACGTCTGTGATCATGAAAAGTGTGTGAGTGCGTGAAATCGGCTAGCGTGCAAGAAGGAACTTACGGAGACATGGTAAGTACCATCCGTCAATTTTCTCATGTTGTGCATTCGTTTCTGAATCCGTGACTTGAATCGATGATCTCTCTCTTGTCTTGCGGTGTCACCCCCGTGGGATTTGAAACGAAACGCGATAGCGGTTCGAAGAGAGAAAATAAAAGCGGAGGAAAACGGAGCATCGAGAGTCGTTGACGCGCGCGAGAGAGGTTATAAAACCGTCGCATCCGCGCCGTCGTCGAACGATTTACGGGTGAGACGATTCTCTCGTCCGAGGATTCGTCTGACGTTCCGTCGCGATTCGCGCGCGTGAGAGAGTTCGTCCAGTCGCGGAGTCGAGGGTCCAGTCCAAGATCGGAGCGTTCACCGAAGATCGATCCCCTGATGCCGCTAGCTTGACGCGCGCGAAAGGTTAGGAAGTCGACGCAGAAGGGTCATCGGCGCTCTGCCCCACGACCGGACACGGTCGCTTTCACCGTCTCATTAGGCCCATTTTTTTAGCTCAACTTCCTACACGGCTCATCCTTTTCTCTTTTACTTTTCACACTGGAGAGAACAGATGAATTGAGCAAGAAGTTTATTTACTTAATGCCCGTTTCTGTCAATGTAGATTAACCTTAATCTTCGTTTAATTTAGTTTTTATCTTTTTTTAATTCTAAGAATTATGTGTGTCCGGTTCTACAAATATAGTTTAATTTTGATCTTGGTTCAACTAACTCTTTATCTTTTTCTAGTTCTAAGAATTATAAAAAGATGAAGAGTAAGTTGAACCAAGGTTGAAGTTTTGGGGGGGGGGGGGGGGGTAGAAACGGGCGTTAGAAAGGGATAAAGAACAAATTGAACCGCGGTTAATCTACATTGGTAGAAATGGACATTAAAAAAAAAATAGATTTCGTGTCTCAAGGGGACATTCGCGTCGCTCCCTCGGCCTGAAACGTCACGCGAAACCCTGGAAACATTCAATGCGCGCTCAGTTTCCTCGCGAAGGTTGGTTTGTAATCCCGGAGGACCTGGAGTCGATGATATACTACGTCAGGATTTAATGCAATCTGGCCGCTGACGTAGAATCTGACGGGACTCAGACACGCAAACGGCACCGTGGCGTCGCGGAGCGACTCGCAGAGAGGACAGTGTCTTGCGACCTCATCCGGAGGCGTCTACTCAATCACCGATCTGTCAACTGGCCGACGACCGACCGAGCGATAAGAGCGGTGTATACATACACCGTGCGTTCTTATCGTCGTTGCTCTCGCTTCGCAATACTTTCACAATCATCGCGTGCGCGCGATGCGCGCAGTCGAGCACGAACGTGATATACATGGGGATCACCTCTGTGAGACCGCACGGTTCAGGTTATGTTGGACATCGACGATTTGTAGAAAGGATTATGCCCAGTTTTATAGGGGAATTTGGGCCCTGGATGAACAACTTTGTAGACGTGCCTAAAATTTTAAGATATCAAAAGAGAATCAAAAATTCCATAAGCCTAACTTTATAGGAGAGGCTTCCTGAGTGCTCCTAGAACATATATTGGCCACATTTCAATTAGGCAATTAAAACCTTTTGTTTCGTACTTTGAGTGTCTCTCTCTCCTCTTTATCGATTAATATATATCACTTATAACTATTCATTTGGGGTCCAAAAAAGGTTTTAGTTGTGTTCGTCAAGATTGGATATATTCCAGATACTAGATGATTCGAGAAATCGAATAAAACCAGTCCTTAATGGCACACAATACATGGTCATAATAGCGAACTTTGAACAGCTGTAGCACTCATTTTACAAAGTTGTGCATATGGAGCTTTTTAATCCTTTTTCGATGCTCTACGATCCTAACTAGGTCTCAATGCTATTCAGCCCAAACTGGACATAGTCCTTTGTGGATAACGCGTACGAGAAATTTGGCAACTCGAATTGTATGTGTGTTTAAACGTATGTATGTATAATGTTAAGTATGTATATAATATTCACGATACAATATAATATACAACAAAATATATATATTATTCGCAATATAATTATATATCTTATACGTATTATATAAAAGTTTATAAAGTTTATAATATATACGTATATAATATACGTATATAATATACATAGATATTTTTACAAATAATTCGAAAATATAGATGCGCCTGTACACATATGTATATAAAGTTTTGTTTTTGTTTATATGTAATATAAATATTAATATAAATATTCATTTACTGCTTCTTTCATACATACACTTGATATATGCAAGCACACGCAATTAATATTTATATTAAATATATATGTAAATGAGAAACAAACCTTGTTTTTTTGCATTCTTTGCAGTAATTCATACATTGAGAGAAAAAATAGTTGCAATTACTATAATTTATAGTGATTTTCGACACTAACTATATTATACATTTTTGGAAAAATTATAAATATAATTATTATTGCTAATATATTTGCAATAAATTGCATTATAGCAGTAATAATTGTAAAAATGGAGCTCCCAACCGTAATTATTTTGCTATGCAATTATAGTCGCAAATACCGAACACTTTTCTTTCAGTGTAATATATGTGAAGAAGGTTTGTGTAAATTAGAACAATCCATTTTTTGATACATTACTTAGACATGAAGAAATTAATCCTATAAAGATTAGTGTCTAGGGAGAGAGGAAATATACTTCTCGATTGCCCTTATCGTGATTGTCCTTATCCAAAAGTCGGACGAGTTAAGGGAGAGTAGCGAGATCGTCGAGTGGATATAGATGTCAATGATGCTCAATAAGCGGATAATCCATTAATAAGTATCTCCTTAATTTTTAAAGACACTGGGATAGAATTACTGCTCGTAACTGAAAATTAACAGAATTATAAAGGTAATTTCTAAATAAAGATTTTAATTATTGAAATGAAATAAATTCTTCATTTTGAAAACAATAGTAGATATTATAATCTACAAGATATTTTATTTTTCATTAAAATGGCAAATAATAGTAAAAATTAATTTTAAATATATATTATAAATACATATATATCAAATCGATTCAAATTAGTTTGGTTGTCAAGAACAGTAATCTCAAAAAGCTTTTATTATAATATTCTGAAATTATCCAATTATTTTGATTTTTTAAATCAATTTCGAATCAGTCTTTCTTTAGTCAAATTGATTTCATCTTTTCGAAATTTTTCAGATCTGTGAAGCTCTATTTAAATAAAATATTGTTCAAAATACGTTAAACAAAGATTTCTTAATTTTTTAAGATGATATTTAAATGAAAAATACAAAGTTCTGTTAAAGTCGCTTATTCGCGCCTTTGAAAATTAATACGTGAAGAGTTAACTTTATTGTTACTCGATTACAACTTTCAAAGATTAGTAGTACTCTAACTTGATGAAAAAGAAATTAATTTATTGAAAATTAATTGTTGATAATTTTCTTTCTACGAAAAGTGCAAGAAACTTAAAAACGAAAACTAAATCTAAATTATAATATTTTCTATATTCATATGTACTTTTGATTTATATGACTTATTGTATACATATATTATAATTGATTTGGAGAATTTCAATTTTTATAACTACATATATTTTGTTTCACAAACATTTGTACGTTATTTTATTAAAAGATATATTTTGCTGTTGTATCATAAATTTTGAACCGCGATGAGAAGTCTATTGAAATATTGCTGGAAAGCATTAAATTTTCCCGGTACGTCAAGTGGCTTTCAAATATTTTTCTCGCTGTCACTGGTCTTCTCATAATTCTAGCATCGTCCTCGTTTCTTCAATAGCTTAAATTCCCGCTTCGTAATGGACTGTGCTTTTTTGGCCGGTGCTGGTTTTTTTATCTCGACCTGCATCAGTCATTGGGTGCTTCGCGTTACTGCGTTGCCAGTTCGCATCCCGAAATTCGATTCCAGGAAGGAATGGACTTCGCATTGCCAAGTGCATTAGCATATTCAGAACATTCGTCTCTCTAATTAGTCGTTATGCAGTTTGCGTTTCTCTCGCAGGTATTTCGCCGCGCGAAATAAATTTTCACGATTTGCAAATTATTAAATTACTCTGTAACACAAAGAAACGGCGAAGAATGATATTTGCTTTTCTGAATAAAACACTTGCGACGTGTGGCTTTTATGATCATCTACTAAACGACAGAAATTTGTATTAAATAGTACTTCCTCTGCTAGATAGTAATTTAATCTTTCTCTTTATCTTATCTGGGTTAAAAATAATCTCTACTTGAGGAAATGTTTTTTGTTCCATTGATAAACCAGAATGTACTTGGAAAGAACACAATATAGATTTTTAAAAAAATACTATCTACATACGCTTGATGAAAGCAGAAATCGCCCAAATCGTTATCTTTCAAGTTTATGGAAGACACCAAGATAACATCCTAAATATCAACGTTTTGTGTATATTTCGTGTTGCCAATATAAATTTTTAAATAATGTATACAAACTTGAAAGATAACGATTTGGGCAATTTCTGCTTTCATCAAGCGTATGTAGATAGTATTTTTTTCTGACTTTATTTAATTCTGTTATCGCGTAAATTTTGGTATCGTTTATCTTTAAAGCCGTTATTGTTGTAATCTCGAAGTGTTTAATGGATATTTCATTCTGCATATATTTTATCTGAAACTGCATAAATTTGGAAAATGCTATGACATGTTACGTACGAATCTTAAATTTATAATATACGAATTTGTTACCATACTATGTCCGTTCATATTGATAACATATTAAAATTTAAACATACATAAAGAAAAAGGTAATGTCAGACTTTGTTAGGGTTTTTTATTTAGGTACTTGGACAACAAAAATTATGTAATACATATGATATGAAACATACTGAAAAAATGTACTAAATTTTAATAAATATCTGTTTGAATAGTATTAAGCTAAATATTGTATTTACTAAATGTAAATATATTTATTTGGTATAAGAACTATTGATTTGATTTAACTATCTTTTCTTTTGAGATTAAACATTTACTTCAGTAAATATTTATTTATTGTAAGTAAATATTTAATTAGTATTATATTCGAAAAAAGTATATAAAGGTATTATATTTGAAAAAAGTATATTAATAAGTTTTTTCAGTGGATTTGTAGCAAAACATTCTTTTAATCATATTTTTCTAGAAATGAAAATAACCAAGATTTTTACATTTTTAAATGTTATTATTAGATTGTCCCAAAAATCCTTTGTTTTTTTAATTTATAAAAACATAATTTACTAATACAATTTACTGAAACAATTTAGTGACACAGTATAATGAAATGTATATGAACTATTCTACTCTGTCACCTTTCTCCATCTCTTTGGAAGCCCATTATGCCATTTTTCCAAAGTTTCTTTGATTTACTGGCAAAATATTGAATTTTAGGATTTGTTATATCATTCAAAGAACTTTTATCGCAAAGAGAATTTTTTAGACAAAGGAACAAGTAGTAGTTAGAAAGGGCGAGATTTTTGTAGAGTAAGGAAAATAGAGTAAAACGTCCCAATCAAACACCAGCAACTTGTTTCGAACAGCCAAACTGTGCATGTCTCACGTGTAGGTGGATTTGCCAGTGGCTTGACAAATACTGTCACACGCATTTAAAATTTTAAATAATTTTGTTCGATATCAGTTACTGCTCGATATCACTCGACTTTCCCCTATGTATACATTTGTTTGTATGAATGGATTCTCTGATATTAATTTCACATTTTGCATTCATTTCGAACGTAATACTGAGCTACTGTTGAAGTAAATTTCAATACGTCTATTGTTTGTGAATAAATAGAACCAATTAATTAATATACATATAAACAATTTCTTATATGTAATTTGTGTGTGTGTGTGTGTGTGTGTATAACTTAGAAAAACAAGTATTGTTTTTTGTTGTATGATGTAGTTTATTATTGTCGATTATTATATTTTTTTTATAACAACGGACGCGCAGTTTAAAAAAGAGATGTGTTAACAGCATTATTTTAATTGAAAATAATCTTGTTAATTTAACAGTATTGATGAAACAAAAAAAATTTATTGAAACAAGAATTTGACGTATATTTGTTTCATTAATAGCGTTATTGAATTAACAAAATTATTTTCAATAAAAATATTGCCGTTGACATTTTTTTAGTGTATTAAAATTTAGCTTCAATTGTGCTTTTGTGTGTGACAGTTTCTTATACTTATTTGATTAAAATTTTTTTGTTATTGATACATTTAGGCCTGGTTGCACCAACGTTACTTTGACTTTAAGCAAGACTTAACTTACTTCTCTCTGTCTCGTTTTAAAGCGAAAGAGAGGCAGAGACACAGAGAGTTTTAAGTCTTGCTTAAAATCAAATTAACGTTGGTACAACCGGGCCTTAGTCCGACGCAATATATACACATAGTATCTTTAATTCCAATTTTAATAAAAGAATTTCCATTTATTATTGTATCAAATACTAAACTATACAATTAATATTGTATGAAATAATGCTTAGACTTAGTGTACACAATTTTCGCAATTGTATGTCCTAATAATAAATGTCGATGAGGATTAATTACATTTTAATTTCACTACATTTTTAATTAATTTTGCGTACGCATTATGCTTATTCGTTCTTTTTCTTCGCGCAACAAGTAAGTTGCGTCGACGTTTTCTTTTCCTTGCCACGTAAACCGGTTACTTTCCCCCTATTTGCCCTGCATCGTTTCGTTACGTTCACACAAATAAAACGTTGAATTTTACTTGCAGTTCCAGACAATGAAAATGGTGAGCAAGTGCGCCAGCTGCATTTCTTCCTCTTGAATCTTGTCGCGACATCGATGAACGTGGGAACGACAAATTGCGTCGATGAAGCACCCGCGGGATCACGAAACCGTCGTCCGCCACGTCGCACTCGCTCCTAAGACGTTCCTCTTCTGGGCGAGAACTCCCGGTGGCAGAAATCGCACGGCATAATCCTCTCCTCCAGTTGTGGCAACAATCTCAATCACGTGAACCGAAAAACTGAAGATCTTCAGGTCTTCCGATGTATATTTTCCATAATTAAATTTCGGGAATGACTTTCCCACGCGTGCGCGAAACGTTAGTGAGACCGATGGTGCGTAGAACCCCGAAGTGATAGTCGAAGAAACGCGAACGACCGGTTCCAGGAAGTTACGAAATTGGCCGTATGTATCGATCGGCCGGGATCACCCGCGATTGTTGAATCGAAGTCAAGGACGGTAGTGTCGCTGGAGAAGTCCACACACAGGTGGGCAAACTCGAGATTCCCGCTTGCCTCCAAGACTTGTTCGAAGACTTGCACGTTACACGCAAACAGGATTCAAAGTGCGGTGTCCCGGCCTCAGTGAGATGGCCTTCATGATGAAAAAGAAAAAGTACAAATTCTCTGTGGAGGTCGACCTCGAGGAGCTCACGGCGGTGCCATTCGTCAGTGCCGTGCTTTTCGCCAAGCTGAGACTTCTGGACGGCGGTTCCTTTGTCGATCATTCCACCAGGTGAGCGTTGTTATTCTGGAATACCGTTAATGAGGATAGCGAGTTAAAATTGATTTCACACTTTGAGTGCGCACAGGAAAATTAAAGGCGATGTTATTGAAAAGCATATTACCTTTGTAGATAAACAAAAACGTTGTGTATGTTTGTATTCACAAATTTAACCAGGAAAGTTTTAATCGCATGACATGCGTTAAGTCCCAGATTTCCTACAATTCATTTTACGAGCATCACAGTACACAAAAAAGGTGTATTGATCCTGAATAGGATCAGTCATGGTATACAAAAAAGTGTATTGATCTTGAATAGGATCAATACACTTTTTTTGTATCGTGGCTGGACTCATCTCGTAAAAAGAACTGTGAGAAATCTGGGACTTAACGCATGTCATACAATTAAAACTTTCCTGGTTAAATTTGTGAATACAAACATACACAGCGTTTTCGTTGATCTATAAAGGTATATGCTTTTCAATAACATTGTCTTTAACTTTCCCGTGCGCACTCAAAGTGTGAAATTAATTTTAACTCGCTGAACTGATCTATTCAGGACGTAGGATTTTATACTCCCGCGCGAAATATTTCTTTCCGACATGTATCATCAATTTCAAGTGGATTGGATCGCGATAAATCGACTGAAGCTTTACTTCAGAAGCGTTTGCGGCGCGCTTGTTATAGAGAAAGAGAGTTCGGTTGTATGCAAGAAGCGAACGCATTGTTCTGAGAAATCTTTGTGTTCACGCGCGTTTACTAAGCAAGTAGCAAGAAGCGAAAATAATAGCAGAAAGTTAAAGTAGCGAGGCGATGAAGAGTCACGCGAAACGTGCTGGCGTTGGGTAATTCGCAGAATGTTAGTACGAACATATATAAATATAAATTACAAAATATAAATTAATCTCGAACGCATGATGCGATTTATTTTTACGATAGCAAACGTCCGGCTATTTTATCTAACGCACGTCTGTTTCAAATCCGAGTTTACCGGATTTACGTAACTCCACTGTATTGTGTCAAGTACAATTACAACAGTATCTATATAAATTATCTCACAGGGAAATACTCGTGCTATATCTCAATGCACGTTTGTAGAACGAACGTATCATTTGGAATCACTAACACGATTATTAATACAACTGATACTTATGTAATAAAAAATTGTGAAAGGTGTAAATTCAGAACTGTCATTATTTTTCGATTTAGGATAAAGCAGGGTAATTTGGATAAGTTAACAAAAATTTTGAAATTGTATAAAAGATTGAGGTCGTATTCAATCAAACATACAAAACGTACTCTATTGGAGCAATAATGTATGTGTTTTGTATGTTTAATTGAATATCTCGTGATGCGATCTCAATCTTTTATACAATTTCAAAATTTTTGTTAACCTATCCAAATTATCCCGTCTTAGCCTATTCTTAATTATTTTGTGAAATTTACTATTTAATTAATTAACACACTGTCAACAGTCTAATATTATCTAATTTTAGACTTAATATTTATGGAGATATATTCTTTTTAATTTTGATCAAATTTACGAAAGAGTCAACACCTTCTCAAGATATATTCTTCTAAAATGGAATATGTTCGCGGTAATTTGGATAATACATGTGTTTATCATAAATAGGCGCGTTTCGTGTAACTATGTACATAATCCGTTTCACTAGCAGCATATGCCGTTTCTCTGGCCTTAAGACCGTGCTTAAGCGCCTTAAAGCTTGACTAGTCTTCAAGTTGGAGACTGATCTAGAGCTGAGCTTCCGGCTTAGTTCAACGAAGTTTTAATGGTTCATCAGAAAAAGCAAACTGCGGACCGCGCTAAATATAGGTTTCAACTATGGCAAGCCATTATTCCAGGCTCGCAAATTCCATACAGGCGTCTTGCCATAAGAGATTCCTAACGTGCGTGTTTCCGCGTCATCGCCGAGAATACAGTTTTCAGTTTTAGTCTTTAGTTTAGCGCTTTTCTCTCGATTTGCTGAGGTTTTGATGAGTAGTCTTTCAAGACAAAATAAAACGTAATAAAAATTCCCAAGATTAGAAAAGATTAGAAAGCACGTGTTTATCCTGCTATTTTGAAATAAAATTATTCGAAAATGTACATTTCAAAGAGAATACATAAAAGTTTAAAAATTTTAATTTTGTGTGAGACTATTCCACAAACGCGTTCTGTAGGTAGAGATGTTACGTCGAAATTATATACACATTCTCTCAATTTTGAACGTTTGAAGCATTACGAACTAAAATCATAAAATAAATGAATTTTTTTAAATGTTTCTCTCGCTTGCTATTTTCAGAATTATAAATTTACGGAATCCTATCTACGTTGAAAACGATAAAATAATTTATTTAAATAACGAGTGAAATTAATCGATATTAATAAAAAATATCGAAAAGTTAACGGAACTCGCACAATATATATGCCGGATAACGAGGTGAAATAAGCATGTACTGAGAACTGCATTCCCGGGTGCATAGAAACGTGACGTATGTTATTATATAGCGCAAAAATGTAAAGTTCACCGCGCCGGGCATAGTTGAAGTCTTTATTTCCGTCGAATATCTATTTCTGGAAAGTTTGAGTTCTATGGACAGCAATATAAATCTTGATAATCGTCATAATAGTTTTTCGTGATAAAACTCCAACGATGTTTGCCGCAATATTACAAATGGGAAACAAAAGTTCCTTCCAGAGATTAAGATTAAATTAGAGCTTGTTAATATAAATAAATGAATTAAATATTGAACACTAAACATCATGTATTGTAACTAATTATGATTAATAATGCTCAAATTAATAATGCTCAAAATTTGCAAAATGTTGCACACAAGCAATATATTATTAAATTATTTTGCACTTATATATTAATATAAAAATATATCAAAAATTGTATATTACTCCGTGAAATATTGAGCAATAAATCATTTTGTACATTAAATGTATATGTTCAGAGTTTATACAGTGTATTCATAAAATGAAAAAAAGTAATGTTGAATCGATGTTCAACGATTGATTAATTTTTCTTTAATTGTTTACATTTAAAGCTTTGGTCTTAATGGACTTCAATAAAATCCTACTCAATTATTATAATCCTTTTATAACATATCACAGATAGAAGAAAATTATTACAATACATGTACGATAGTCAATTAAATAAGTAAAACAGCGTATCATTGTTTCAATTATTGAGTTGTGCGCAACTAAATAAAGGTGTGAAATTAACGGGTTTACAATTAGCACGTCTTTACTTTTTTTTCGTAGAACTCGCGATGTCGAATACAATAAATTAAAAACTGGAGTCTAAAGAGAGCCCGTCTTGTTGTTTAACAAAACGAGCTATTGTCTCAGTAGTGAGAAAACTAACAACACTGCGATGTTTGTATTCCGTGCATTATGCGCGATGTCATATGCTTTCTTTTCTCTCTTTCTCCTCTCTCTCTCTCTCTCTCTTTCTAAGTAGAATAATGTTTCTATCTGTGTGTGCAAGTGCGTGCGGCATAAATTCTACCATCATTTATGTAAGCGTTTCTGCTTAACAAGGCATTTCACCGCATAAAAGATAATGGTGAAACGTAGTGTATTTTTTTCTCAGAAGTGGGATATCGAAGTGTTATTTCTTGTGTGTTACCTTCTCAAATTTCGAATAATATCCTTGCTAGAAAGCAAACATAAGTATATAATGAAAACAAAATATATGAAGAAATGATTCCGCGCCGCATATTTTTCATAGAAGAGTATTATTCCTTCACTTTCGAATTTATTTTTCCGTTTTCGAATATTCGTTTCATTTCTTTGTCGTGATATATTTTTCTTGTTCAAAATAGAATAAGTCGATAAAACCGGTCACACAAAAATGATCCGATTCTATGACGTATACTGGTCGCATCCGCGTGAAACCGCTTTTTAAAACCGTCGCTTTTATTTCGGATATCGGTGTGTTCGTGGAAACATGGGGACGACTATTGCACTTGCATCAGAATACAGTTTCCATGAAAGGCACTCCAGTCGTACTCTATTAATTATCGACTTTAAAAAAAAAGAGTTCCATTGCATGATAATAGCATCGTGCTCATTAATTGTCTAGAGTCGCTTTCTGTTTCATCTAAATATACGTAGTCTTTCTTAAATTCCCCTTTCTAATTTCTTCTTCACATTAATTAAACCGCTAACGAACTGTGATATAGTATTCTAGCCACAAAGTGAAAGAAATGTTAGCATGTTTTATTAACCCAATTAGAATCATTCGTTGTCACATATAGATATATTTATTGGATTTTAAAAAGTTATATATTTATTTAATGATATACTTAATAAGATATTTCATTTGTTCATTTCATTTATTGTCTAATAACATTTTAATATCGGAAGATATTAAAAGCGATATTAAATAAAATTTTAAATTTTGTAAATATCGGTGTTTGTATAAAATTGCCATTTGTAAGAAAGAGAGAGAGAGAGAGAGAGAGAAAGAGAGAGAGAGACTAAGGTTTTATATCAGAACAAGTTACACATGATATCTATAGAATTTTATGTATATATTGATGTATATATAATAGATAAGATACATATATATGTATGTATATACTATATATATATATATATATATATAATAGTTTGCACGAATGATTGAATAAGTTTTTGGTTAATCGATTATCAAATATGTTTGTATATAATTTTAATAATTAATTAACGAAAGCTTATTTGAACCAATTCTGCAAATTTGTCTCGCTTGTGCCCTTAATCACTATAATAATTATGCAAGTTAAACAGATTGATCAGTTATTTGCGCATCATTAATTCTCGTATTTCCGATACGCTTAGAAAACTTTAATTCAGTTTAATTCTACCGACTTTCTGAACGATTTCTCCTATCGGCTGCTCGCGCTGTTTCAAAGTTTTTCTTGTACCAATGGTATCGCGATACTTTTACAAAGATAATTCATAATTGGAAGATATGTTGGGGATTTACATTTACAGCATTTAAACGATTTTTCCAGTTATTTTCA